ACACACACACACACACACACACACACACACACACACACACACACACACACACCCACCACACACACCCCCACACCCCCCAACCAGCCGGCAAGGTTGGCATGGGGGTTGGCGGCTGCCTCGTCGCCGGCACCGCGGCCGCGCTCTTCTCCATTGCGTCGAAACAAAGCGCCCAAGCACACGCGGTGCGTTGTCATCATCAATTGAATGCGTGGATGCGTCAATGTGTGGTTGCGCTTCGTGTGCTGTGTGTCTCTTTGCAACTTTACCGTGACGCGCCCTGCATCCCTTGCCTCCGCTCACGTGCTTCCTTTCTCACCCACCTGTAACCCACGCACCCTCTCCCTGTTGGTCGTGTTGCGCAGACATCGCACTGAACCCGTTCTCCCCCCTTCCCAGCCACAACCACAGTTCTGAAACACGCCCTTCCATGGACTTACAAGCAAAACTATCCCCCTTTCCCATCTCCCTCTTGCACTCACTTTCGTTCTGTGTCCCCTTGTGTGATCGTAGCGTATTGACTGACTGCCGTGTGTGGGCGCTGCATGTGTATTTGATTGTTTGTGACAGACATGAAACCTACATCACAATCTCTCGAGATGAGGGCATTCACGCCCACCAATCACACCAGCACATGAATGCAACAATGAAGGGCCCCGCACACACACACACACACACACACACACACACACACACACACACACACACACACACACACACGCATGCACGCAAGAGCTGCACTAGGATATATTGCACAACCAGAGTAGCGATAAGACCATGAAATACGGCCCATAATATGGGCTGTCAAAGAAAAAACAAAAGGGCGCCGGGCCCTTGTCGATTTTGATCCACCAGAGAGTTGCAAACACACACACACTCACACACCCACACACACACACACACACAACGCACAGTGCATCAGCGTATCCGCATCACGCGTGCACACATACACAGCCATTACGTTCACGAACTAGGAAGACAGGCAAGACACAAGCCACATGCGCGTGCAAGACGCGTGCAAACCATCAGACAATCTATGAAAACAAGGATAGAGCAGAGGTGTCAACACCCCAGGCCAATCAATGACAACAACAACAACAGCAACAACAACAACAACAACAACAACAACAACAACAACAACAACAACAACAACAACAACAACAACAACAACAACAACAACAGGCAAACACAACAACAACAACAGGCAAACACAACAACAACAACAACAGGCAAACACATGTGCACAGAGCCACCTTCCCTTGACAGCTGCCGCAAACACACGCACACACGCACACACGCCCGCTCCAACACAACAAGGAGTCAAGGATAGGGACAGCATGTGCAAAGTGATGCGAGCATATGTCACATCGATCAATAGTCGTCCGAGTCATCGGAAAACGCTTCCATCAATCCGTCCAGCGACACGTGCGAATGCACACGCGGCACCTCATCCTCAGGTGTCACTGCAGACGAACCAATTGTGTGTGTGTGTGTGTGTGAATGCAGTCACACACCCCCCCCCCCCCTACAATCGATAAATCACACCTTCGCCACCCACCCATCCTATCCCATCCCAAACATCACATCCTTGCCGCACCTTCTCCGAGGACAATGCCCAGGCCGCGCGACTGCGGGAACGACGGGTTTGACGAGTCGCTGTCTGGCGACGTGGATGCGTTGCGGCTGCCGCCCCTGTGCGCCGGCTGCTGCTGCCGGTGGCGGTGCTGCGGTGCCGAATCAGATGACGACGTGCGGCGATCTGGTGATATTGGTGGTTGCGGTGGCGGAGGGGAGAGATGGGAGGGGGAAATGGGGAGACATGGCATGCAATAAACACGCAGGTTGTTGTGGTGAGCGTGAGATGGTTGGTGGCTGTGACAAGAGCGACAAAGTGTTTGGGCAGACAGTGCAGTGTAGGTGTTCACGCGATATAACACCATGATGACACAGAATACATGCACACACACATATGTACGCACAACTCGCCACGCAAACACGGGCAATTGAAAGACTGACGTCGTGACTTGTGGTTGTGGTGCGCCGGCTTGGACGTGGCGGTGGTGGTGGCGAGCGGCGTGTTGTGCGTCATGGCCGTGCGCGAGGCATACGTCCCGTTGCCGTTCTGCTGTGTCGGCAGAGGATTGGACGGCAGAGAGAACGCGCGCGTGCGCTGCGCTGAGGATGACGACGATGACGACGGTCCGGTTCCGCCGTCGCCAGTTGCAGGCCCTTCCCACACCTGTCCCAGCGCTGTGGAGCACACGGGTTGGGCAAGGAACGCATGAGTCAGGGAGCAGGAGATCGTGGCAAGCGCTCGCTCCGAAAGGCAAAAAAAAAAAAAAAAACCGCAAGCAGACACTTCCACGCCTTTTGCAAGGAGGAACGCAGACACCACATGAACAAATGCTCGAGTTGCATAGGAATACCTTGGACGAGCTCTTCAACGGTCGCATCGCACTGCTGCACCTTCACGTCCGGCCCTCCGTACTCCGACTGGACAACAGCAAACGCAGCGCGAGGAGAGCAGGCGAGCGTGATCCGGTGCACAAATGCCGTTGAGTGGGGGCAGCGTTCAAAAAACCACAGAACGGCCATGCAAATGCACACAACGAACATGCACACACATGCACACGTGTAGACAAGCATTGCGTTGCGTTGCGTGTCGGTGGTGTTGCATTAAATACCCCGTGGTGGTTCCTGGACTGGGGGCGCTCCTCGGGAATGGGCTCATAGTGGAGGCCGTTGTGCTTCATAAACGCGCTCCTGTTGCCTTTCGTCCGCTCTGCGCCCACAGGCGCCGCCGAGTACACCTGCAAGGTACCGTTGACATGGATGGGCCACGGTGTCAGGAGGGAGAAGATACACACCAAAGCACACTCCATGAACAACAAATGCAGTGGCTACCACAGGAGCAACAGCAGCAACAGCAACGGCAACAGCAAAGAGCCCGGTTGACGCACGTTGAAGGTGAACTGGGGGCCGAGCCAGAGGGAGCGGTGTGGTGGCATGTGCGTCTTCATCTCCACCTCCGAGAGCCAGCGCCGCTGCTTCGCAGTTCCGGGACTCACAGACATGACGTCATCCCACGCCGTCGGCGCCGTGCCCTGATGTCGCAGAAAGAAGGGATTTGGGCAAGGGGGTGGCGTGAGCAGAGGTGCAAGGGAGGGGACTGGAGTGGTCTTCGGTTCACGTGAAAAAAAAAATGAACACGACCAGCAGCACAGGAAAATACCACACACATTCAAGCACACACACCCACACACAGGCACACCCACACACAGACACAGACACACCCACACACAGGCACACCCACACACAGACAGACAGACACCCACACCCACGGGTGCGTACCGAGTTTTGCTCGAGCAAGCGCGTGCTCTCGAGCATGTCTGGCCACGATTCTGCGCGGCACAGGTTCCACAGCTGCTTTGGCGCCGTCAGCAGCGCAATCTCCTCCCTGCAGCACGGATTGGGAATGTGTGCGAGAAGGGAAAATGCATGCATGCATGTGGGCGTGTGTATGTGCGCGCGCGATTGTGCAAGGCAAGCGTGCAACAAAGAGTGCTTACAGTTACACAACCCCCCTTTCTCACCTTCCCCTTCCCTTCCTCCCTTCCCTTCATCAGCACTCACGTCTGGACTTGTGGCTCTGGTTCTGGCGGGGCGACAGACTTTGCGGCCGGGTGCTCGGGTCGTGAGAGAAGCTTCTGGAATCCGCCAAGGAACTGGCCAACAACATGCCCTTGAGAAAACAGTAGAAAGGCGCATGTGTCTGCGTGTGAGCGAACGACCGATGTAAACGATGCCTGACTCGCAGCATAACTGGCAACGTACAAGCAAACAACCCCAACCACACACACACACACACACACACACACACACACACACACACACACACAATCATAGCACCGGTCACACACAGCGATGTCGTGCGACAAAGCCCAGCGCGTGTCGTTGCTCGGCCTACCAGTGGTGCGTGGCGGCGGCCTTGCGCGCTGCACGTGCATCTCAAACTCGTTGAGTTTCCCCTCGTTGGTGAGGATGAGGAGGTGCAGGACAGCCGCGTCTGTGAGCAGCTGGTCCACGTGCGGCGGCGGGCGGAAGTGGACGGCAATGATGCCACCAACACTCACGTCCTGCCAGTTGATCAAAGGATAGGAGGAAAGAGGTGAGGAACGGTGAGATGGTGGCAAGCAACATGCATGGCGAGCACACACACACACACACACACACACACACACACACACACACACACACACAGCACATACGAACAACACACACACAGCACATACGAACAACACACACACACACACACAAAACAAACACACACGCACGGCGCCAGGCACGTACGTTGAGGTCCTCGGAAGTGGATGACGTTCGAGACATGGAGGTTGAGTCATCGCGATGGGACCTGTCTGCCTCAACAGCAATGCAGCGAATCTTCTGCAGTCCGCGCACCACCGTCGGGTCTGCCAGCTGCTGCCGCCGCCGCTGCTGCTGCGCCGCCCCAGAGCTCTGCAGGAACTCACTGGCGTTGGGGACTTTGATGGGCAGGTGTGACCCCGCGTTGATCTCGTTTCCCCTGGCGGTTGATGATGGTTGATGATGTGGTGGTGATGGTTGTGGTGGTGATGGTTGATGATGGTGGTTGCGGTTGATGATGAGGACGACCACAATGGTGACGAAGATGATGGTGGTGGATAGATCGGTGGATGTGCGGGTGACGCTCGTGGCGTGGAGAGAAAGCACTTGCGTTGGTATGTGCGATACTGAAGCAAGTTTTCGGCACATGTGCCACACTTTTCAATGCAACTGCACAGTCGCACTCACCTTGGATGGATGGGGAACATGTGCACAGTGCCGCGGTGGCTGGCGACGGCGATCCAGCGGTCATCAAGGCTAAACGCCATGTCCTGGATGACGGCTTGCGTCATGCCGCGTTGCAGCGAGTACAACTGCTGCGCGCCAGTGGGCGTGCCCGGCACTGTTGCATGCAACAAGCAGCAGTCACAAGCAACAGCCAACACGTGAGTCTTGGGATGGCACCACAAACAGTCGCGTCTGAAAGGTGGGGAAGAGAGAGGAACCGCACAATGCACCCGATGCACAGACGCAGCAGGAACAACGCAAGCGGTGCAACCCGGACGTACGAAGCTCAAAGACGTTGATGTTCTGGCCGGTTGTGTCTGCGGTGGCGAGGAGGGTGCCGCTGTCGTTGAAGGCCATGGCCGCAATGGGCGAAATGTGCGCACGGAAGTGGCAGATGATGGACGGCGGCACAGGCGCTGGGGGTGGTGGACGTGGTGGATGTGGATGTGGATGTGGATGTGGATGTGGATGTGGATGTGGATGTGGATGTGGATGTGGATGTGGACGTGGTGGATGTGGATGTGGATGTGACGAGGAAGGGTGAGATAAAACGTGTGTGGATATGTGAGCTTATGTTGCCGAGACTGAGAACCGACGCCAAGCAGAAACAAAGCAGCACAGCTCGCGACAAGTAGGGTTCACTGGTGTCCTGTGTGGCGCCTCACATTTGTCGTCGGCGGCGTGGCTGTGGAAGCGGGCCATGGTCTCCTTGACGTCGACAATGTGGATGTATCCAACACCAGTGCCGTTGCTCTGCATCCAACAACGATACGAACGAAGAGGGGAAGGCGTTAGTATTGTGCAGGAAACTTGGAAAAGCAGACACATGGGTACACACGAACACACACACACACACACACACACAAACACACACACACAAACAAACAAACAAACGAAACAAACAAACACACAAACAAACAAAAAAAAACGAAACAAGCAAACAAGCAAATAGCTTGAGCGTGCAGCGTTGTTCACCTCTGAAGCGGAGGTGCTTGAGTCCGTGCTTACGGTGGACGATTGCTGATGGTGGTGGGAGTGGTGGGAGTGGTGGGAGTGCGAATGGTGGGAGTGCGAGTGGTGGGAGTGGGACGTTGGCTGGTGCCTGCCCGTCACAAACTCGGACACGGTCCTGTAGCCCTTGTCGCTGAAGTAGTACAGGCGCTCCCCCGTCTGCTGGGCAAGCTGCATCATTGTCTGCATGGTGTCTGGCGTGGCCACGGCGGCCTCGCGTGACGATGACGACGCTGCACGGCACGTCGGGTACGCCAACCACCGCGGCCCCAGGGAGATGCACCCTTGCAGATTCAGCGTCGGCTTCATCGGCGCCACATCTGCAGCGCGTGCGAGAGAGAGATAGAGAGAGAGAGAGTGTGTGTGTGTGTGTGTGTGTGTGAAAGTGAGAGAGACAGAGACAGAGACAAGAAGAAGAAGAAGAAGAAGAAGAAGAAGAAGAAGAAGAAGAAGAAGAAGAAGAAGAAGAAGAAGAAGAAGAAGAAGAAGAAGAAGAAGAAGAAGAAGAAGAAGAAGAAGAAGAAGAAGAAGAAGAAGAAGAAGAAGAAGAAGAAGAAGAAGAAGAAGAAGAAGAAGAAGAAGAAGAAGAAGAAGAAGAAGAAGAAGAAGAAGAAGAAGAAGAAGAAGAAGAAGAAGAAGAAGAAGAAGAAGAAGAAGAAGAAGAAGAAGAGGAGGAGAGTGTGTGTGTGCGTGCATGCATGCATGCGAGAGATTGCGATGGCCATCCAACGTTACCTTCAAGGGTAAAGACGTGTTCAAAGTCTTCAGACCGGTACACGCGCAATTCGCCAGCCAGCATCTGCAGATGACAAGAGCACACATTGCAGTAGTGAGCACACGTCCATCAGAAACATACAAAGGCGGTGGCGCAAGCCAATCTCACACACAAAAGCACAAACACGCACGCACGCACGCACACACACACACACACACACAAGCACAAACACACACACATGTACATGCACACCGTGTGACGCACCACGACGAGGACGGACGGATTTGCCTCAATGGCACGCGGCCACCCGCGCACGGAAATCGTTTCCGGATGCGCAGTCTTCAATTTGAGCGACGTGAACTGAATCACAGCCTTTGTCCGCTGTTGCACGCACACACATGCATTGTAGGAAACGGCACGTCAGATGAGAAGCAGCTGAGGACATCAGCTACAGAGGCAGACAGGCAGACAGGCACACAACACCATCAAATCACACACACACACACACACACACACACACACGTTTGCTTGTACCGATGACTTGTCGGTGCTGCAGTAGGCCAGGAGTGGCCGAAACCGAAACAGGTTGTCTGTCGATGCAGGCAGGACAAGACACGCAATGGTAACCAGGCAATGAGCACTCGGGAAACGCTTGCAAAGGGCAATATCACACACACACACACACACACGCACACACACACACACACACACACACACACACACACACACACACACACCCTTTCTCTTCCCCTCCCCTCTTCTCTCTCCTCACCCTGTGTTGGGGGCGCGGAGGACTCTGGGACGATGGCGGCGCAGGAGAGGCGGCCGCCGCGGAACGACAACAGCTCCTCGGCCTCCTGTCGACGGCGGTGATGGACCAAGGAAGATGATAGATGGGATGATGATGATGAATGGTATGACGATGAATGGTGATGATGATGATGATGATGATGATGATGATGATGATGATGATGATGATGATGATGATGATGGTGATGATGATGATGATGATGGTGATGATGATGATGATGGTGATGATGGTGATGATGATGATGGCGTAGATGTGACAATCAGCAGGAACAGAGCCAAAGAAGAAGAAGAGGGGGAGGATGAAGAGCCAAGAGATGATCGAGTATTGCGCGCATCGCAGATGAGGTGCCATACGTTGTTTTCGTGGAGCTGCCACACTTGACCGCCGTTGGCGTAGGCCATGATCATGTACGTGGCAGCGTGGCCCGCGCGCGCTGGTAGTAGAGTGGTTGAGAGAGAGAGAGAGAGAGAGAGAGAGAGAGAGAGAGAGAGAGAGAGAGAGAGAGAGAGAGAGAGAGAGAGTGTGTGTGTGTGTGTGTGTGTGTGTGTGCGTGTGCGGGGTTGGTTGGTTATGGCAATGGTGAGAATGAAATGGCTGCAATGAATGTAGTGGAACGAGAACACACACACACACGCACACACGCGCACACACACACACACACCTACACCAACACCTACACAGACACACACCTGCACCTACACAGACACAGACACACACGACGACGACGAGACGTACATCGACAGGTCCTGATCTTGACCCAGGAGACATCGTCAGCCTTTGGTGGGGACTTGTGTCGTGTCGAGTCCGGCACCACCCGGTGGATAAAGTCAACCACGTCCTTGAAGTACGAACGCGCCCTGTCAAAGGAGGGGAATGTTGAGCCTTATGCGCAACGAAAGGCACGCAAGTCGTGCAAGGGAGGCAGAAGGCCAGGCAAACAGGTACAGCAACACGCGCTCGCTTTCAACCAAAGGCACACGCAAACGAACACACACACACACACACACACAGACACGCAGAGACACAGAGACACACAGGCACATAGACACAGAGACACACAGGCACATAGACACAGACAGACACACAATACCACGCACGCTACTCACGGGGGTGCAGCCGGCATGAGCCGGCGAGGTTGGCCGTCCATATCCTCAATGATTGGCTGTTCCTCGTTGAGTGGTCGGTCGCTGATGTGGGCGAGACTGTGTATGTGTGCTTGTGCTTTGGGAGCGACAGGCTCCCTGGCTTGCGTGGAACAGACAGGAAATCTGCCCCCAGCGGCTTGTGCTCGGCTGTTGGTTGACAAGATCGTTCTTCTTCTTGTTACGTCTGATTGCGCTGCTGGTGAGATCGATGAACAGCTGTGAGCCGATCTACAGTTCCCTTGGTGTTTCTGCTGTTGTTGATGCTGGTGAGCTATGAACCTGGGGGCGCTGCTGTCCTCCTATATGTCTGTCTGTCTGCTGTTGTTGCTGCTGAGCTGGCAAAGCGGCAAATCACCAAACCAGAGAAGCAATCAGCAGCAATGTCATCAACAAACAGCTTCAGGCGCCTCTGGGAACTTGCCGCTTGTCTCTGTTCTCCTTCTTGCCTGCCTGTCTATCTGTCCTTTGGCACACAGCTGGCTGGCTCGTGCTGTTGTTGGTGGTGTGTTGTAACTTCTCTTCAAGCTTCCCTTCCGTTTTTTTGCCTTCTTGCTTGCTTCGCAAGCTGGACTGGTTTCCGTTGTTTTCCTCGTTTGCGGTTGCTTGTCGATGGGAGGACGATGGCTTGCAATGCGATGGGGAGGTGTGCGTGTCCTTTTTTTGCGTTGTTGCTTCTTCTTCTTGCTCACCTGCTTGTCGGATGGGGAGATGGGCGGAGGGTAATAAAGTGTGTGTGTGTGTGTGTGGGCCTACAGGTCAGGCGCTGAGCTGTCGTGGGAGCCACGCTTGTGCCTTCTTGTGTTGCGCTTGTTGGTTGCTTGGGGTGTGGCTGGTTGCTTTGTTTGTGTTTGTGTTTGGGTTTGCGTGACTGTGATGGCTGTTGCTTGCTTTTGCTTGCTCTTGTTGTCGGCCGTTTGTCGTTGTCCTCCTGCGCTTCTTCGTTCTTGGCGGTTGGTTCGTCTGCTCAAACAATTTTGCTGACTCAGCAAAAACCCGCCCACCGCATCAAACAACCAAGACCAACCAACCCACCAACAACCGCTGCCTACCTCCTCACTTGTAAACATCTTCCCCCACCCCCCACCACAGCGCAGCGCAGCGCAGCAAAGACGGTCCAGCCAGCCACACCCGGCTCACGTCGTCCTTGGTGCTTTTGGATCCACCCCTTATCCTTTCTGTCGTTTTGGGTTCCTTGCTTCCTTTTTCAATCAAAACAAAGGTACGCGTTCAAAATCATCACCTCCACTGGTTCAGCTGTAGGTTGCTTGCTTGCTTGCTTGCTTGCTTGCTTGTGACACCCCGATTGTCCGTCCACACACACACACACACACACACACACACACACACACACACACTCACTCACTCACACATACACTCACATGCACTTACATCTCATACTCCCACACACACTCACACACATACACCCACATACTCACTCACTCACACGCGCACCACATCACTCACACACATACACCCACATACTCACTCACTCACACGCACCCACACCCACATACTCACTCACCCACACCCACACACACATACACCCACATACACTCACATCACATCACTCATGCACTCACTCACGCGGAACACAGACCAGCACAGCCAGCCATGGCGGAGGAACTGCCAGACTTTGAGGCCTTGAAGAGGCAAACCATGATGCGCCTGACGGAATTGTCTGTGATGGACGAGGAGCAGCGCATCGCCATCTTCGAGATGGTCAAGGACGGCTCATTGACGGTCGAGGAGGCCGTGGCAGAAGTCAAGCGCACCCGTCCCAAGATCTTCACCGGCCTCAAGTTCCTCGGCAGCTCGCCTGCGCTGCGGCCGAGGAAACAGGACGACGCCGCCATAGCCTCAGTTGTCAGCAAGGCCCACGCCGCGCTGAAGAAGGCCAAGCCCACAAAGATCAACCTCGTCGCCTCCACCCTGGGCATCAAGCTGGAGACAGCCGCAGAGGAGGAGCTCATCGAGAACAACGCCATCCACACCATCATCCACGCCGCACCAGTGCCCGGCAGCAGCAAGCTGTTTGCTATTGTCGTCCTGCAGTCGCGCATGGGCCTCGTCTTCACGGACATTGTCCAAGTGGCCAAGGCCAAGGAGGCCAAGGAGCTCGAGTCTGTCATCAGGGACCGCCGCACCGCCGCGCGCAAGGCCGCCCTCGCCGCCACCTCCGCATCCTCGCCCGCCTCCGGGTCAACCACCTCCGAGGGCGCAGCAGACGCAAGCAAGGACGAGTCGCGACGGCCAACACTGGCGGCGAGCCAGCCCGGAGCAGACGCGCAAGGCGGCGACGACGACAGCGACGAACTGCTCATCTCCGCACACATGCTGCACTACGTCGGCAGCGCGCCGGCGCCCAAGGACAAGGGCGAGGACGCCGTGCTGGCCGCGGTGGAGGCGCTGAGGGAGCAGGTGAAGGAGAAGCGGGGCCCAAAGGCAAAGGAGGTCACCGTGCAGGACGCAACGCCAGCCATGCTGGTCATCTCAACAGAGGGCCTGAAGATTGTCGACCTCGCAAGCAAGGAGGTGGTGAGCACGTCCTTTATCAAGGCCATCTCCCACCAGCAGGTGTTTGGCGGGAAGAAGGCCGAGTTCTTCTGCTTCATCGAGGTGGACGACAGGCGCAGCGCCATCGACTGCCACGTGTTTCTGTGCGACCGCGGTGTCAAGAAGCAGGCCGACACCATCTACAACGACGTCATCATCGCCGTGCAGGAGGCGAGGAAGCGGCTCGGCAACCCCTTCCGTCCCGCTGCGTCGTCCCGCAACCAGCAGGTGGGCGGGGCCGCCCCCATCTTGGCGCCCTTGCAGGTTCCACGCCGCCAGCTGCGGCCCATCAAGGCCATTGGTGCAGGCCAGTTTGGCAAGGTGTACCTCGCCGCATACGGGGACGAGGATGACGAGGAGGTGGCGACCACCACGGCGACCAGCGACCCGGCAGCCGCCGGCGTGGACCTGCGGGCCGTCAAGCTGCTGCGAAAGTCGGCGTCCAGTGAGGACAAGGTCGAGTTTCTGCGAGAGGCGGAGACGATGGTGCGACTTGGGCCGCACGAGAACCTGGTGCGGCTGATGGGGGTGGTGGTTGGCCGCCTGCCGCTGCTGGTTGTGCTGGAGTACTGCCAGTACGGCGACCTCTCCGATGTGCTCAAGGCGTGCCGCAAGAAGGGCATGCAGCTGCGCTTTGCGGAGCAGCTGCACCTCATCAAGCAGCTTGCGTCGGGGATGCAGTACATTGCGTCGCGCGGATTTGTGCACATGGACCTGGCCGCGCGAAACTGCTTGTTGCACCGCAACAGCGTGCTCAAGGTGGCTGATTTCGGGCTGACGCACAAGCACGACGAAGGCAAGACGTACTACAAGCAGCGCGGCGTGCTCAAGCTCTCCGTGCGCTGGCTGGCCATTGACGCCTTTGACCACAAAATCTTCTCGGAGAAGAGCGACGTGTGGTCGTATGGCGTGACCGTGTGGGAGGTGTTCACCTACTCCAAGCAGCCCTACACGGGCAACAAGCTGCAAGAGGTGCTGAAGATGGTGCGTGGTGGCCACCGCCTGAGCCGCCCGTCGCGCTGCCCAGAGGATCTCTGGCGCATCATCGCCTCGTGCTGGGACCGCGACCCGCGCCGCCGGCCCACCTTCCGCAAGCTGCTGCGCGGGCTGGAGCAGGTGGCGAGCGCACACGCGAGCGACGACGCGCTGCAGGAGGTGCGGGATGTGGGCGGGCTGCTCAACCAGAACCTTACGGAGCAGATCAAGGTCCTCACCCTCAAGAAGAAGAAGAAATCGTCAGGTCAGTTGCATGGTTTTGTTTTGGTTGGTTGGTTGCGTGTTTGTTTGCGCTTGTTTGTTTGTTTGCGTGTGTTTGTGTTTTTGTGTGTGCTTGTTTTGTTTGTTTTGTTTACGTGTTTTGTTTACGTGTTTTGTTTGCGTGTGTTTGGTTGTTCTTGGTTGTGTTCGCCACAGCGGATATGCTGGTTTACTTGCTGGTCATTTACAAGTGCTGCTTCGTTTGCTCACTCACACACTACCACAACCCCACGCGCGTCCATGTACAGTTGCTGATCCTAAGTCTGCGCTGATGAAAGGCCTCACGGGAGTGGTCGACGAAGAGTGAAGAGGATAACTTGTTCTCCACGCGAAAGCACAGCCGCCCTTCCGCCCACAGCAGCGGTGGTGGTGGTGTGATGCAACGACGATGCTGGTGGTGGGGAGAGCCAGAGAATAGGCGAATGATGGTGGCGGCGGCGGGTGAAATGGGAGCATGACATGTGAGGTTCGATGTGAATGAGATGGCACGTGCGACAGCGAGCGAGTTGAGAGTGTTGCGCATGGTGAGTGAGCGTGAGAAGCACACAAACAAAGGAGCAAAAAAAAAAAAAAAAACATCAGCATCGTCATTGCATGATCATTGGTTGTCACGCGCATGTTCACTAGCGGATGAATTCGTTTCTTTGTGGTTACACATTACCTGTCGTGCCTTGAATCTGCCCTTCATACACATCCTGTTCGTTTTCAATACACGTCATAACAACCCTTCCATCCTGCGCAGCGTGTGTGTGTGTGTGTGTGTGTGTGTGTGTGTGTGTGTGTGTGTGTGTGTGTGTGTGTGTGTGTGTGTGTGTGTGTGTGTGTGTGTGTGTGTCAGTGGGGGATGATGGGGCAGGGAACACATGAATGGCAGCCGAGGTGACTGATGGGTGGTCAACAATTACACCAATGCACACGCGCGGCTCACCTTGAAAAATGCAACAATGTCATCCTGATGAACAAATGATGCCACCATGTCGGCTGCGTTGTCTTGCCGTGAGTCGTCACCGCTGCCACTGAATGTGATTGCGGTTGTGGGACACGCCCGCACACGTGTCCATCGACGATTCTCCCTCTCGTACGCAAACGATGTGCTCACAATGGGCTGCACCAGCCTCCCCTGCTGTTGTCGGTGCGGCTGCTGGTGGTGCACTGGCGCCGTGCGAGTGCTGTGCTTGATGAAGGCCGTGCCTTCCTCGACACCGACACCAAATGCCCACATGAGTCGCAATTCGAGACATGGCAGCTGCTCCTGTCTCCGGGCTCGCTTGCTCGCCAACTCGCCGTCACCATCGCCATCAGCACCATCATTCTCGCTGTCTGCCTGTAGTGCGAGTTCTTGCTGCGCCTCTGCGCATGCGATGGACACACGCGCGTGAATGAGGCGCGGTGGAGTGCGCACAGCAAGCATATCAACGGGTAACAGGAGCTGACTCATGTGTGTGTCCAGACGGCCCAGCCCGCTCCCGTCACTGGCGCGCCTGAGCAAGCACGAGCGACAAAATACACGTGTGTATGAGTGTGCGTGCGTGTGTGGTTGAGTGAGTGAGTGAGTGAGTGTGTGTGTGTGATTGAGTGAGTGTGTGCATGTGTGTGAGTGTGTGTGTGCATGTGTGTGTGGGTGTGTTTAAGTGAGTGAGTGTGTGCGTGTGGGTTTGGGTGTGCGCGCGTGTGTGCGCGTGTGCGTGTGGGTTTGAGTGAGTGAGCGAGTAAGGGTGCGTGTGTTTGGTTGTTTGTGTGTACATAAGTTCACTACACGGTTGTGCAAACGCGCACATCGTGGCAATCACTCATGCACAGCTGTCGTGTGCTCGTGTTGCGTTGAATCCTCACCAAACAAAGACGCTGTCGTCACACACGGCGAGGATAAGGTCGCCATTCCGCAGCCCAACGCCCGCACGCGCCTGTTCAGTATGCGGGGGGGGGGGGGTAGAAGTGAGCCCCACAAACGATAATGGGGTTTACACAACGAGCACGCTGTGGCAGAATACACGACACACATACACACACAACCACACAACCACACAACCACACACAACCACAACCACACACACACACACACACACACACACACACACACACACACACACACACACACACACACACACACACACACTCTCTCTCTCTCTCTCTCTCTCTCTCCACCAAACACACCACGTGGAGGGCGCTGCACGGGTCAAGGGACCGGCGATCCTGCAGAGAAACGGAGGCGACAGCTGCACCCTGACCATCGCTCCACGTGAACAGAACGCCACCAAGCCGGCCAGTCATGACGTCGTTGTGCACAGTGCACACACGGCCATAGTGCACCCGCTACATGACAGCACAGCACACCGACAACATTCATGTGAGTGCGTTCACACAACTGCACGTTCAGTGTGTGTGTGTGTGTGTAAGCGAGAGACACGCTTACACGCAAAGTTGTCGACAATCAGCAATCATACACATTGACACACACGTACCAACAACCCCAACAAACACAAAACCACACCTGATGAAGAATGGCCTGCGAATCCTCATCAAAGCTCTGGCTCTGTCGGAGCGTCATGTTTGGCAGCGCAACTTCGCGGTCACTGCCAGTGGAAAGTTCAACGGCCCTGTCGTTGGTGGTGGCGTTGTTGTTGTTGAGGTCAACTTGGATGAGTGCATCTTCACATGTCGACGCTAAGAGGGGGGGGGGGGGGTCGCGGGCGCGAGTAAGAAGCAGACACACACACACACAGACACACACACGCAGACACACACACAGACACACACACGCAGACACACACACACACACACACATACACACACACACCTCGGGGCGTCCTGAGCATGTTGGAGGAACAGTGTTTGATGGGAGACGAGCAACACCTGGCACACCCGCTCCTATGCAGACAACGGGGCAGGAAAGAACACGAGCGAGGTGAGGAACGACAAGAATGGAGAACATGGTCACAACAAACCCCAGACCCAAGCCTAGATTGCCCACGACCGATGTGTAGCGTGCCATGTTGAGCATCAATAGAGGCACGAACACAAGTGATAGAGGGTATGCATCACAAACGAACCACTTGAGTGAATTGGCGGTGGAAGACAAGAGCGATCGCGTCCATGCCATCAGCGTGTCGGCGAGACGAGTGACGAACATCCACACGCCAGACAGCAAGGGTCTCAGCGTTCCACGCAGCAACAAGCACGTCGTCGTCTGCTTCCAGCATATCCACCTGATGTGCGTGGAACGGTTGGTGAAGCGTTGCGTGCGCATGCAGTGTTGGCAGCAACGATGTGGGCAGGGATGAGGGTGACGCATTGTCGGTTCGAGCCGTGTTTGTGGTAGTCGATGTTGCTGTTGGGCCAGAGCTTGCTGTAGCTGTTGCGGTTGCTGTTTGTAACGTTGCGGGTGCTGTGGATGAGTGCGTGGTGGTCTGTGTTGCAGCAACAGGGATGGTCGCCGGGTGTTGCTGCTGTTGCTGTTGTTGTTGCTGTTGCTGGTGTGTTGATGACGAGTGCGCGGCTGCGTGTGTGTCGCGCAGTTGCGAGAAGAGTGGCGGTGTTCCCATAGTCACATCGGAATCATCCAATACAGCGGTCACAGAATCCACGCTGTGTTGTTGTTGTTGTTGTTGTTGTTGTTGTTGTTGTTGTTGTTGTTGTTGTTGTTGTTGTTGTTGTTGTTGTTGTTGTTGTTGTTGTTGTTGTTGTTGTTGTGAAATGGAAGCAATTGTGCTGGTAACCTGTGCTGTGTTCTCCTTCTCTGCCTCGTTAACCACGCGGGCTTTCCTCTGTTTCACTTCCGCTCCCAGCGACGAGGATAGGCCTCCATCGTTGTCTCGTTCAACCGGATTCAATCGTGCAGGTGTGCTGCCGGCTGACACCGATCGCTTCACGCGACGTGTGCGTCTTCGTCTCCTCACTCTCCCGTTCATCTCCACCGCTGTTTCACCCGCGTCTTCCCCTCCCTCTTCCACGATAACTCCATCTTGCACTGTCACGTTGCCGCTGTGCGTGTCCTCAACTCCACAACAACCGCTGGTGCCGTTGCTCCCGCTGTTCTTGCCGTCGCCTCTCGTGCTGCCAGCGTTTGCAACGCCGTGTTCACCATCTTGGCCGCCGATGCCGTTGATGGAGCGTCCATCTTCGCGTTCTTGCAAGGAGGGGCCTTGCGTCTCCGTGTCGTCTTCCTCTTGTGTGTCAGCGGCTTTTGTTGTTGTCGCTGCAGCGGCGCACGTGCTCTGGTGGCCATCCCCGGGTCCTGGCGGTGACTGCGTTGCGCCGCGTAAGCTCTCCTGCTGCTGCTGTTGAGGGGAGCCCATGAATACGCATGGCAGTTCTTCATCGTCATCGTCATCTTCATCGTCATCATCGGCATCTCCATCCCCATCGTCATGCGGGCGGGCGCCATCAGCGCGGCCGGGGTTGATGCCATCAACTACCAGCACCGCCTTTCCTTTGCTCTCTTGTCCCTCTGTATCCGCTCCATGTTGTGCTTGTTGCCGGTCCTTTCGCACGGCACTTGCTACCTTTTGCCCACTTCCGTTGGTGCCGGTGCCTTCAACAAAAGCAGCAACGTCATCCCGCGGTCCAGAAGACGAGGAAGACTTGGACAAGCGTGCACGCCCGAGCGCTGGGGAAGTGTCGGGGCGCGATGAAGGCGACGAGAAGGTGGTGGCGACTGACGGCGCGTCCTTGCCTCCTGTGATGGACAGCATTCTCATGTGCGAGGCCTGTCCTCCTTGCCTCCCGCGCGAGTGGTGCCGTCGCTGTCTGCCACGGCCCGAGACCAGCGGCGCTGTTGTCGTGCGCTTGGCCTGCTTGAACCCGTCACCAATGGACGCCACCACGTCCTCCTCCTTTCGGTGCAGAGACGACCTGCGTCGGGGTGGCGTGGAGGCCACTCGGTGCGCGTATGGCTTCTGCACGCCGTTTGTGCCAGCAGCAACCGCCCGTTGTTGTGTCGTCGCGCGCGCCTGCTCGTGCTGCTCGTGCTGTTCCTCTGAGGTGGCTGCTGAGATGGGTGTTGAGATGGGTGCCATCGTTGATACGGCTGCCGGCGCGTCTGCTGGCGCCGCTGCTGCTGGTGGTTGTGGTGCTTTTGTTGATGCGGTGCTCTTGGCGCGCGGGCGTGCGTGTCGGCGGGCGTGCTTGCGCGCCTGCTTGGCACTGCGCACTTGCTTCTTGCGGCTTTGGCGCTCAAACACGGGACTTGCGGGGCGCGCCGGGCCACTCCGCTTGTCCACCGCGTTGTCACTCATGCCACCGTCATCGAGCACGCGCTGTCTGTCGTGTGTGTGTGTGTGTGTGTGAGCGAGAGAGAGAGAGAGAGAGAGAGAGAGCAGGTGTGTGTACGTGTGTGTGTGTGTGTGTGTGTGTGTGTGTGTGTGTGTGTGTGTGTGTGTGTGTGTGTGTGTGTGTGTGTGTGTGTGTGTGTGTGTGTGTGCAGCGTTGTCCTCTCTCCAAACACGTTTTTGTTGGTTTTCTCTTGTTGCGCCACAGACAGCGTTTCCCGCCAAAGTGTGCGTGTTGGGTGTGGATGTGTGGATGGTCATGGTGCCGGCAGCGTGTGCCTTGGATGAGTTTACTCTGTGTTCTACGCCTTTGCGCGTGCAGCCACGCAAACGCGTGTACGCATGAGTACATGCACAAGCGCATACGTAAGCGCACAAACAAGCACAGCCCTTTTAGTAACAAACAAAATAAAGGCAAGCCACCGCTGACATCCATCCACACACCCACACGCACATTGCTCTGCGTCCATCCACACACACACACACACACACACACACACACACACACACACACAAACACATGAACGCTTATACACACACACATAAACACACATAAACACACAAACACACACACACACATGCATTCTGTTATTGTTGCTGCTGTTGTTGTTGCTGTTGTTGCTCTTGTTCCCACAGCCTTCGCTGTTCCTCTCGTTGTTCCTTGAAGTAAGCAGCCTTCTCCTTGTCCAAGCTCAGCCGAGCAGCCGTGTGCAGTCCAAACCCAACAATAAAGATGCCAGCCCTACAGTGTCACCACCCGGGGGACATGTGAGTAACGGCGAATGCTCCGGGCTGCGCATGTGCGTGATACCGAAGCACGACCCGACTCACACCAAAGCAGGTTCAGCGCCTCGGACACAGCATATGGGCACAAGCATTGCTATCGCACCAGCACCACCAGCACCACCAGCACCATAGCGCACGCGGTCGGCAGCCAAGCAAGAAGAACCGAAATCATCGCACAACAACAGCCAGCCGCAAACAACAAACAAACCACAAGCGTAGCGCAGATGGTGCACTCGCTCATGCACTCACTCACCAGGCGTATTTGATGAAGAGCGGGCTCCTAACCAAACGGCGTGTGATGCCTCGAAGGGACTGATCCGGCTTTCCATAGTACTGGTGATGCCCGCTGCCGGTGCTCATGGCTGGTGGTCACGCAAGGAGAGACAAGACGCAGGGGTTGGTGTGCGGGAGGACAAAAAGGAACACACACGCAAGAAGCAGCGGTCAATGCGACACCACAAATTCGATTGGAGCAGCTGTTGAACCTTCAGCATGCGAAGAAGCCTTGCCTTCCTCCTTCTGCTGCTGCTGCTTGCCGGTGAGCTCAGACTGTGTGTGCGTGTGTGTCTGTGTGTGCGTGTGTGTCTGTGTGTGCGTGTGTGTGTGTGTGTGTCTGTGTGTGTGTGTGTCTGTGTGTGTGTGTCTCTCTCTCTGTGTGTGTGTGTGTGTGTGTGTGTGTGTCTACGTCGCATGAGTTGGTGTGCGCATGATGAGCAATGTTTTGTGTCTCTGTATGTGTGCTATCACTCAATCCTGGCTGCTGTGGTGTGTTTCGTTCTGCTCGTGTGTCGCAGGCGGCGGCGGTGGTGGTGGAAGTGGTGTCGAGGCCGTTGCCAGGACGGACGACTCGGGAAGTTGCGACATGACCATTGATGAGATTAACAAAGTTGCCGATGCTCTGTCCAAGTTCGTCCTCTGTCTCACAACGGTACGCACCACAACTCCACGCAACGACAAGACCACCCCTCTCTTGCTCTCCAAACGCACACCCACCCACACACACACACACACACCCACACACACACACACACACACACACACACACACACACACACACACACACACACACACACACACACACACACACACACACACACACACACGACGCACATCGTGCATTCTGCAACTTGGTCAACACTCCCACACCAATGGTGTGACACTTGCTTGCATGTAGTATGGCTCGCCAACCAGTTATTGCGAGATGTGCCAGGCAGAGAAGAGGCGCGTCGATACCGTGTATGATCAGATGCCAGAGGACTGCCAATCCTTTGGCGTCTTCAAACAGCTGCAGGAAAGCCTCATCAACTCCACCAGCACCACAGCGGTACGGCCTGTGTTGCGCATGCGCTGCTGCTGGCGGCACTTGTCGGTTTGTCTTGGCTCTGTTGACCTCAGAATGCTGCTAACGCTCATATTTGTGTCTCTACTCCTCGTCGACCGCGGCACCATCATAAATTAGGCGCAGAAAAGCACAGCCATCTGGGACTCGAGCAACTGCGACGGGTGCCTGGACTCTGATTTGGACAAGCTGAACAGCAAGCTGGCAGACTTTTACACATGTCTGCAAGGGTAAGGCTCAATGCAACCCACCTGCGTGCCACCCCACTACAGTATCATTTCCTGCCTTTGATTGACCACGCAAAGCACAGCATCGACACTGCACCCTTTGTTCACACACACACATACTCACACACACTCTCTCTGTCTCTCTGTGCATGTTTGCTCTTCTGCTGTTCCTGCTTGTTGGCGCCCTGCAGCAACTTTACCTCTGCACACATGTCCAGCCGCCTTCCGAGCGACCACAAACCCGACGAGGTCTGTGTCAGGTGCGCCGACGCGTTCGAAAGCATCGACAAGTTCCACAAGTCCCTTCCGCTGGTGCGTTGACGTGACATGTGTGCCGAAGCATCCCCCATGTTGCTTCCATTGTTTCGGTTACCGAATGTGCGTCCATGCCTGGCGCTTCCACGTGCTGCGGCCCGCTTGCACTTGCTTGATAGCTCTCACGCCGACTCACATTCGATTCCCTCCGTTGCCTATCCGCCTGTCCATGTGTTCTCTCACCTCTCTGTGCGTGTGCGTGTGCGTGTGCGTGTGCGTGCGTGTGTGTGTGCGTGCGCGTGCGTGCTCTTCCACGCGTTGCAGAAATGCCGAAGCAACGTGGATGTTGTTGACAAGTACCATCGGCTGTTGCAGTCCTGGTCGCTGCACGACTGCACCGTTGTTCGCGTATCTCGCGACATCATGTACATGGTCCTCAGCATCGCCGTCGGTACGTCGTCCAGCCGAGCACAGACAAAAGGAGACACAGACAATGTGCACGCTCGTTCGTGTGTGTGTGTGTGTGTGTGTGTGTGTGTGTATGTGTGTGTGTGTGTGGTTTCATCAAGCCTCTCTTGCACTGCAGTGTGTTCCCGTCGCACCGTATTCATGCAAAACCGCTCTACGTGTGCATGTATTTCATGACAAACTCACAACAACCAACCAACCCTCCTCTCTTACCCGCCACTGCGCACCAGTTGTTCCCGTTTCCTTCTACTGGAGCGTCTACCTCGTGTACCGCAACTCGCAGTAAGTCATCTGCTGTCGCGCGCGCATGTGTGTGTGTGTGTGTTCAACAACATAACACAAGTACTTGCGCCGCTGCCACCACCGCCATCATCATCATCATCATCATCATCATCATCATCATCATCATCATCATCATCATCATCATCATCATCATCATCATCATCATCATCATCATCATCATCATCATCATCATCATCATCATCATCATCACCACCACCATTGCAACCCCTCGTCGTACTCACACACCCCTGAATCAAATCACCTCCACTCGCCAGCTCAAGTGAGGAGTCGCACTCCATGGCGCCAAGCGTGTCTGCGCTGTCACTGTCCAACACATACGGCAACGGCCCCTCGTCCTCCACCTCCACTGGTGCTGGTGGCTCTCGTGGTGGCAGTGGTGGCGTGCATCGGCGTCGCTCTGGCGTCAGCACCGGGTACCACTCCACGGCAGCGCCGACGCCGCCCGCCATGGCTGGGCGCAACGCCGTCTCGGACACGGGTGCCGCTGTTGGGGTGATGGTGGCGCGGGGCTGGCGGCAGGACAGCGACGTGCTGACCATGCTGGAGGGCGCGGTGATGGACGAACACGACTCGCTCGCCCCAGGTTGGTCGCACAGCGACACGGGCGAAGGCAGCCCTGCCCTTGATTTCTTCCGCAGCGACACAGAAATGGATGCTGACGCGTCGCCGAGGTGGGTGGCGGACGATGCTGGCAGCCCGTCCAGCTACAGCCGCAGCTACCACCCGGACCACCAGCACCGCCCCCGCACTGATGCTGCAGCCGACGGCCTGTTGAGAATAGACAGCATTGAGGCGTTTGAGCACTCCAACGAGCCCGTCCCAACGCAGCTGCTTGAGGGCGATGTGCCCTCGCCGCTGCGGAGTGGCAGTTTTGCTCGCAACCCGTCCCCGGCCAGCGCAAGGTACCGCGACGCTGGTCGCCGCCCGCATGCCGGTGATGGCGTCGGCGACGTTGCAGACACGTGTGTGAGCAGCGATGCAGGTACCATGTACGACAGCGACGGCGGTGGCGATGTTGTTCGCCGGAGCCGCGGGCGCACGCGGAACCGCAGCACCACCAGCCGCGAAGACAACAGTGCAGCCGATGGCGCGATTGACGGCGTTGCGGTTGAGGTGGGCACGCTTGTGGCGACCGAGGACACCACCGTCACCGTCCATCGGATGGACGCCCTCCCAGATGCCGCTGACGATGATGGTGGCGATGTTGGCGGCGATGATGGCGCTGCTGGTGAACTACTGCCAGCCACAGACGACAACCAGCAACAGCAAGACGGAGGAGAACGAGGAGGAGGAGAAGCAGAAGACGCCATATTAGAAGAACCGCAGCAACAACAGGAACCACGGCGACCACAGGAACCACAGCAACAGCACCAGCAAGGGGCAGATGTGGCGTTGGACGTGGCCAGGTCTCCACCGCCGCCAGCCCGCTCGTCGGAAGCGTCGTCGGAAGCGTCGTCGGAAGCGTCACTGTCGAAGCAGGGCACCAGGGCGCTGGCACCACTGCGCACGCCACCAGATGTGGGCAGAACTTCAATTGCAAGCGCAACAGATGAAACGGCAGCAACACACGTGCACGTGCACATTGGTGTCGCTGGAGATGATGGTGATGATGAGCAAGGGATGCAGCTGCGCACACGCCCAGGGACGGCACACCAAGGGGAACGCGACACACCGCAGGAACGAGTGCTTGGTGATGCTGTAGAAGACGTGGGCACATCAAGGGGCGATGCGTTTGAAACCGCAGATGGTGACGACAGTGGGGCGGACGCCAGCGATGCCACCGACAGCGAACGTGATACTGATGATGATGATGATGATGATGATGATGATGATGATGATGATGATGGTGATGATACTGGAGGGGGTAATGATGATGACAGCGGCGGCAGTGACAGGCAGTAGTGCGGTTGATGCCACGTCACACGCGTGTGCTGTGCGCCTCACGCACTCCACATGCTCGCTTCGTCATTGTTGTTTTTGTCATCGCGTTTACCGATGCTTTTTTTTTTCCTTCCTTCCAGTGTCCACCCATCGCTAGCCTTAGAACCAGGACCACCACTCTCGTAGTTTGTTATGTTGGAGAGAACACGTGTATCCGGTTGTAGTGGTCGTTTTGTTCATTGCTCCTTCGTTTATGTATCTGTTTGTTTGTTTGTTTTGTTTTGTTTGTTGATCTTGCGTTTCGTTTGGCGGAGGCTTTACTGCACATGGACGTGAGGTACCACCTACCACCACATGGGCAAGCGGGACTACCGAGCAACCAAGACGTGTGTGCCCCTCCCTCTCCCTCGCGCACGCACACACGTACACATTCACGCATTCACGCTGCATTTCATATGTACGCTCGTTCCGCACCCCACCCCAAGTCCCCTTTCCCTATTCCACAAACGTTTACCCCATCCATCGTTGACCATAACGAGAAAATCGATTAGAACGTGCTACCGCAACCACACCCCCTCCCGCGCCAACACACCAACACACGCACACACACACGCACGCACACACACACACACACACACACACACACACACACACACACACACACACACACACACACACATACAAACCAGAGCAGAACAAAGCCCTGGCGCCATCATCACATCACGGAGTGTCGCTGGATGGAAGCAGGTTCTCCTGGAGCGAATACTTCTCACGCCGCGAAGACGATGACGACGATGAGGATGAGGAAGGTGGTGACGACCGGCGTGCAAGCACGGCCACAAAACCGCACAGCGCAAGCAGCACAAGGAAGTCGAGCACCACAAACACGGTGACGGTCCTTGCTGCTCGTCCGCCCTGCGCGTCACTCGCCGACGCAATGGAGCCGTCGCTCACGGCAGCGGCAATGGCGTCCTCGGCGCCCGTGCGTGGGAGGAGGCCGGCGGGACCCGTGTCTGGTGGGGATGCGCCATACGGGGTGTCGCCGAAGATGCGGCGGTCGTGCTCCGAGGGTGAGGTGAAGGACAGCGGAACAAAGGGCATGCACTGCTCGGCATCAAAGCCGTGCGGATCGTCCATCCACTCGAGCATGCAAGGTAGGGCGCGGGTGTCCTGATTGAGGACGCCGTGGCCAGAGGTGGAGGCAACGAGCATCTTGGGCGGGGCAACGCCTGCTGGGCGTTGTGCCTGCATGTAGTCCAGGTACATGAGGCGGGAGAAGAGGTGCGGGGTGTTGGCGTCGAGCAGACCCGAGAGAAGGAGCACGGGGACGTGGAGGGAGGTGGGTGTGCGCCCCGCATATGCATCACGCGGAAGGCGAATGAGCCCAATGGGATATGCGACCACGCGCGGGTGCACAAAGAGGGCGTGCAGGGACCGCTCGAGGTTGCGGTCTGTGTTTGTCCAGAAGTCGTCGCTGCCAACGGGAAGGTCCTCGATAATCTCCTGCGCAGCGACAGCCATCAGCGCCGCCTGCGAGAACCCGGGGCCATGCGTCAGGGACGCGCGCACGTTGCTCACGACGGTGTGGGTGAAGTCGTTGAAGCGACGCAAGGCGGGAAGGTCGTCCTCGCCGCAGCGGAGCAGGCGGACAATGGAGGCTGTGACCAGGATGTGCGGCAGGCCCGCGGGCTGCAGGGAGTTGAGCATGCCGAGCATGAGGCGGTACTCTTCGGGGTCGATGCCAGCCTGCCGGCAGTGACCGCCACGCAGACGCTCCAGCAACAGGTCGAGGGTGTTGGATGGCTCTAAGCCAAGATATCCACCACAGGTGTCGTCAACGGCGCACGCGTCAAGGGTGACGCGAAGCGCAGCGGTGAAGAACTGCGACTGCGCCGTGAGCACGTACCCCTTTGGATACACGGTGCCATCCAGAGCGATGGCGTCAATGACACGGCCGAGGCTGGTGGCCGTGTTGTCCACATCCTCCTCCTCCTCAAGCAAGACGGCGCGGTTGGCGACGAGCGTGCCGTAGCTTGAGCCGAAGAGGGTGATCTTGTAGTCGTTTGCTCCTCCGGACGCGGCCTCCTCTTCCTCCCTGATGAGGCTGGCGATGTAC